ATCTTGAAAGGTTTTTTGGTGCGTGCTATTTGGACTCTTACCCTAACCCTAAACAGTTTGTCAAGCCAAATGAGAAATAGTTGATGACCCGCAAGGACCGTACTCGTCCTATAACTTGTTTTACTAACAGGGCAATGATGTTCCTATCGGAACAAGAAAACATGGCCATGATTTCGCCCGTCAGGTTTGTTCTTCTCAGACCCTCAAGAACCTCTCAAGACTTGAATCATGTCAATGAACTGGTAAATGAATTTGGTTAGGTGATAAATTTGATCTAAACGCAAGGAAAGGAAAAGAAATTTTTGTCTTAGAGTAGTTTCTGAAATATGATTCTGTCAAAATATTTGTTAATGTCCCTCCTCGAGTATATACACATATATATAAATAATATTGAAACTGGTATACGAAGCTACATATGTATGTAAGAAGAGATGATCTCGAAACTTTCACTCTTCAAACATCAATCATAGAACTTGTCTGATCTGATTCAGATTCCAAGACGAGCCGCATGCCTAGACACCAATGCACTTTAAAGCGTCAAGGAATCTCCATTCAATAATTACTACCCATGTGTACGAGTTCATGGAAGAACCAAAAACTATTTCGATCTTGCAAGCCAAACACCTCCATTATATGCTTGCATAAAGTCATCTGGCAAGGTTCTTCATGAAGACATCGAAGCCTAGTTTTCATCACGAACAAAGTTCATCTTGTCTTCCAGCAAGAACTCTACTTTGGTGTGCTTGTTAGAACTTTAGGGTTTACTCCACCCCGCAAGAAAAACTTTAGGGTTTACATGTAACAGATGCATAGCTGGTAATATTGCCTAACAAAGCTAATAATTAATGTCTTCAAGCAAGAACTCAACTTTGATGTGCTTGTTAAATCCATGGGGTTTACAAACAACAGATGCATCAGTAGAAATATTGCCTCTAACATCATGTACACTAAATTAACTAGGTAGCTACCTACATATCTATTGACGAAGATAGAATGATGAGACATACATGAGTAGAAGTTTGTGAAGGACCAAGAGCCACAATATCTAGTCAAATCTTCCCTCTAGAAATCATTAAAAATAATAGTGAGAGCCATAGCTTTCTGTCTCTCTTAGGAGTTTGTATTGTGCGGATACAATGTATCAAGCCAATCTAGTCATGGACATTTTATTTTACTTAGTAGTTTAGTACATTGACCAGGAGGCCTCAGTCATCCATGACACAACCGAAGGACATATGCAGCACATATTACTTGAAACCATTTTGCTCTATATACTGAGCAAATTTGCTACACATACACTACTAGTAAGAGTCAACAGTGCCAGGCTGCAAGGCTTTAAGGGTGCTTACGAATATTATGATACATCCTTCGGTAGTCATCGATCGATATCTCATGGTGTGTGTCCATGGACATGCCTTGGGTTTGAGCAATAGGATCACCATCACACTTGTTGTTGTTGTCCTTGCCATGGTTTTTGCTTTTGGCTTTATTGGTGGCAAGTGATGGATTTCCGATATTCTTTCCTTTCATTTCTCCAAGATTGTTGATGTCCATCTTAGTTTCTTCATTGCTCTTTCCACCAACACTAGAACTGAAGACAGATTTATCATCATGAACCATGTTTTCCTTTCCCTTATCTCTGTGAAGAGAGAAACTCAAGGGATTCTCGATGTATTCACCTTCCACACTATTGTTGGAGAAGATCATGATCAAACCAAATATTAAAACAAGCACAAATGAGATCTTCATTGTTGATAAGCTGCATCAAAACGAAAATGATGATCTCAATAGTTAGATACTATACCAATTAATTTTGAGCTTTGATGTTTTCATTAACTTGATCGTGTGCTAACATGGTTAAATATATGACTAAAGTAATAGGAATCTTGGAAGTTACCTTGAATTGACTTCCTCCGGGACAAGTTTGGGATGCTCTTGTATGAGGGCACGGTATTTATAGGCAGATATTCAAGCTTAGATGAACTGATGTAAATTGACAAGATAAGCATTGGGAATCCTGTGGTGCTTTTCGATCATGCCCGTATTTTCTATGAACATAGCATGGATAAGATAATTATTGCGCTAATTACATCATGCACACTGATGAGGTAGTGGAGAATAATAATCATGTCGCCAATGGAACAAAATTAATAGCAATTTAGGCTACATTAGTTTTACATAGGTCTAATAGGTTATGCTCCTCAAGGTGTAAAAATATACGTACATCACTCAGACCTACATTAGACAAATTAAAGATGTCTTTACCCAATTCTCCAAAGATGCACAATATCTAACCGGACAACAATACTATCAGTATTTGTTTGCCTATGTGCTCCACTAGTATCGATATGACATGGAAAAAAGACCAAATCATTTATGTATTTGACTTCAATTGTAAATGAAAAGCATTTAGTATGAACTTAGTCTAGACTTATAGTTATTGAAATTTATGATACCACCTTAATTTATGTTTGTGTGTTTGCAAAAATATGCATGACACTCAGATAAATCAACTCCTCCGAGGGAGGCATCAGCATAGGAAGAGTACTATTAGACCAAAACCTCAAAAGAGAATCTTAGTTGGCATTGCAAATGATCACAATGCTGTTTACTAGAATGCAAGGAATGCTTGTATCTTTTGTTGTAGTTCATACTTCCGTGAGTAATTGTGTATGATTTTTCTGATGGACATGGTGAGAATAGAAACTATTCCATGCAGGAATACTAGCCATCAAGACATGCTCATTGTTACTCCATTAACTGTTCATGTTTGGACCGAGAGAAATAGAGTCCTACGATGAATCTTGCACTATATCTATGGTGGGAGAAGACTTAAGGCCCCATATTGGGTTCTTATTTGCATATTTTGATGGATATAATGTATGCATGGAATAGTTTTTGTTCTGATGAAAAACCACAAGAGTTATGATTATGAGCAGAAGCATTGAACTAGGATTAGATGTAGAACATCTAAGAAGCACATAGAAAGCACAATGCTAAAGGCAACAAAAAAAAAAAGGGATTTCTCAGTTCTATCCAACCCTAAAGGCAACATTCCAATTGAGCATGTTGAAATTTTGTCAAAATTAAATGTCTAAGTAAAAGTTAAGAATCAGTTCTCAAAACAACAATGTTAAACAAATTGCGATGGCATTTTACTAACTTATACAACTTGTTAAATAGAAAATGAATGTGCTAATATTAAATCTGTGTTTTTGAGGAGATGTAGGTTCACATATATTTGGTTATGCTTATGACTATGATGCTTCATTCGAAAACATGAACAACAACAACAACAACAACAATATAATAATTGAACAATTATATTCATATTAATAGTCATGAATTCAACATGATACTTCTCACAATGCATGTATAGTAAACTGAAAAATTATATCCATTTCAGTAGCTAGGAATTTAGCATGATTCTTTTGGTTGGTTTAACTTGACTAAGTTCATACTAAGTGTCCCTGCACTAGTTTACAAAGAAATTCTTCTATTTGCATCACAAGTCAAGCGTACATAAAATTGACAAACAATGTTGATAGTATAGGTGTAGAAGTAGATATTTCTTATCGTTAGAGAACTAGGGAAACTAATAGTTGTCCAATATAGGGTTGAGTGAAGTGCCTATTTGAACCTTTTGACTAGCATAAGAAGTTAGATATATGACACTCAATGGAGTGTCAATTGCAATTGATTTCATCCTTCGGCGACATGATTATTATTCTCCACTATCTCGTTGGTGCGCACGACGTAATTCGCACAATAAATTCTTAGGCACGCAAAGTCTTATGATATGCGCGCAAGACCGATACGCACAATAAGATTCCAAATATTTATCTTGTTACTTTCTCTATTTGTTCCAACCTTGAAGGTTCCCCTATAAATATCATGTCTCATATCAAGTATCTCAAACGTGGAGGATTTGAGTTCAAGGTAAGTTCTAAGACATCCTAGTTTTAGCTATTTACTTAACCATATTAGTACATGTATCTGTTGAATATATCAAAGCTCGAAATTAATTGTTACATATAGGATATCTTAGTATTGAAATGTGAATTTTTCACTTTGTTGTAGCTGATCAACAATGAAGATGTCATTTGTGCTCGTTTTTACATTTGGTTTGGTCATCATCCTCTCCAAAACTGGTGTGGAAGGGAGAAGGCTTGAGGAGAATCCC